TTTTGGCTCACTTTCGCTTTTTTCCCTTTCTTTTTACAACGCTAGGACTTAGTTTACTTGCTAAACGCGGCAATGATCGAGGTGATGCTTTCGTACGTTCCAGTGACGAAACCTAACAGCCCGATCAGCACTATCACGATGTCTTTTGACATGGTGAACATCCCAAGGGATGCGTTCTGACCACAGACGACCATTTCGATGATCGGTGGAAAGATGAGAGCCAGCGCGGTGCTGCTGACTGCACCCACCAGCGATATGAACAGGCCGAGTTCGGGTATTGCTTCAGCTAGGACAACTGCAATAGAATGATTGTCATTAATATTTATGAAAGATATTTTTACAGACAAAATTCATGGGAATTTACTATATTTTGTCTGTATTCAAATGACCGTTCTTTTGAGTTTCCATGGTAGAAATATAATTATTAAATATAGGAATTAATTGGACTTTTCAAATATAGTGTCTATTTACAGAAAGACAAGAATAATCATTTTGTAATAAAAGTTTTGACTTAGAATCATATTTAGTTTGCAAAAATAACGCAAAAGTAAATTTTCTTCAATTTTTGTTACTATTCATTTGAATTAAATTAACATTCGAGCAACTAAATAAGAAAACTTACTTAATTTTATATTTTTCAATTTAATTCAAATGAATACTAGTAAAAATTTGAATTTACTTTTCCATTAATTATTTTTGCAAACCAAATAGGATTTGTTTTGCAAACATTAAATTAAAATATATTAAGTTTGAAACAAGGCTTTACATAAGAAAGCTTACTTAGTTTTATACTATTTAATATAATTTAAACGAATATTAATAAAAATTTGAGAGTATACAAAAGTAGAATATAAATAAAAGTTCCATACTCACACGTGAGCAAACATAACACAGAACGAAAAACAGTCTCAGCTAGGACCGGCCACCTGAACGGGCCAAATTGTTTCGCGATTGCTGGCCACATGATCGCGACAGGAACGTAAAATTGCAGTGCATACGTGAACAATATACTTAACGAGATGGCAACTTTTATGCACTGAGGTAAACTGCAAAAGAAACAAAACAATGTTTATCGCGAGTGATCAAATATGTGATTTTCGCTTCGCGAGTTTATCACGCACGGTCAAACACGCGTGCGGATTACTCGACGCCGCGAACGAAACTAAGAACAACGTTAATTTTCAAACAGCAACATGCCACGATTAGGCGTCAAAACAAAAGAGAAAAACACACCGTTAATGAGTTCGTTATATCATAAGGAAAGGGAACAGAGAAATTCACCAAAACTCTTGTCTAATTCGAGCAAGCATCTGAATCATTACAGCACTTCGAAACAAAATACTATATGAAATAGAAACCTTGAATGCACGACGACGATTTTTCCATCCACCCTTCGTATGCAACAGAAAATTATGTTACAAAGAGTTTTCTCTTAACTACGTTTGCGTCTTGCTATTTTTCACTATCGTTTGTTTTGTTTCATAGAATTTTGATTATTCATTACGCAGATTTATCACCTGGACGCATAATAATCTATTGTAGAGTCGGCAAAGCGATTTCGTTTTAACATCAATAAATTATGATTTAACGACTTAAGCTACGGAGAACGTGTTCTCTGCTAATCACTTGCCAAATTTTGCATTCTCTTTTTTTCAATGTCTTGAGAAAATCAGTAAATTAATGGCTGTGACCAATTTTAGTAAAAACTTTTAAGTTTAGTAAAACTGTAATTGAAGAACAAATTTAATAATATTCTTCTTTTAATTTAAAAGAAACAATTTAAGGGTAATTGAAACGTGTGTATTTAGCAAATGATTAACATGTTTTAATAAAATATTGGTACGAAACAATTTATCGGCCGTGTAAAATAAAAGTATACATATTGAAAGGGAAATCGAAAAAAAATAAGTTTATACTCACACTTCTTTCGATTCGAGATTTAACGTGACAGATCCGGCCACATCGTCGCCGTATTTTAAATAAGATACGAAACCCATCGCGACGAACATGGCGCCCACAATAACCATACCGACATTTAAGACTCCCAACGGCTTATTGAAATTACTCGGTTTCTTCATTTCATTCTTAAGAGGTAAAACCTGAAATCAAACGTAATCGATCATTTTTGAAGTTTCAAATTACTTTTTCACGAAAATTCAATATGAAAGAGATATAAAGTTTAAAAGAAAGATCGAAGTAATGATCAATTAACGAACTATTAATTTGTTTCAAAAGCAATCAAATCATATAATAAAATAATAATAATAATTTCAATCTTCAAATTTTAAGTTCAGTAGGAAGAAAAGTAATATTTTCATCTTCATTTATATGGTACTGCAAGTTTTACTGTTTACTTAAAGCCCTGTTGGTAAAACAGAATACAGAAGTATCAAATTTCCTGCATTCAATCGAATTCATTATCGATAATGATTAAACAAAATTAATAAAACCATATATTCGATTATTATTATTATTATATATTATATTATATATACAACTTCCAAATCCTTTTTAAGAAAATTGGATATAAAAGAAATATAAAGATTAAAAACAAGATAACAGTGAAGATCAATCACTGAACTATCAATTCGTTTCGAAAGCAATCAAACCATCCAACGAAATAATAATAATTAACACGTTAACTGCCACGGCGGTCACCGAAGAACCTGCTTTCAAATTACAATGAAATAATTACAACTTCTACGAACTGATTGTAACTGATCTCAAATAAAATTGTTCAGTAGTATAAATAACTACATAATTAGTAAAAAAGAATGTTTTTACCGTTCTTAGGATAATCCACGGGAATGAAAAATTTGCATTTTTGTCAAGGGATGGTTTCACCCCTTCAAAGTGAAATTCAGCGCGAAAAATATTGCAATGTATTAAGCTTGACTTGCTCTAGTTACACACAAAGTTTCATAATCGTTTGAATTTCCGGGTTCGATAACTTCCCTTGTAAGACAATTTACCGAATATGCCCTCTGGACAAATTGCAGAATGCATTGGGAATATAAAAACAAAAAGTAATTGTTGAATATATTACTATCTATGTTACTACCTAACTACCAGCAACAACAAAAATTACAGCGCCGGGGTCAACGTGTTAAACGTCGGAAAGGTGAAACACATTCTCTTATTAGAGAATAGAGTGACGAAACTACCGGTGGCCAAAATTAAGTGTTACATAAATGCGAAGTAGCGTGTGTGGACGCTTACCAGCGTAATACCCTCAAAAGAGTATATCACAGTGCCAAAGAACAGAGGCAGATCGTGCCACTTGGCCACGTATGCCCTCTCGCGAATGGGCGGCAGATCGCGGCACATTATATACATGGTGGCGATGTATCCTGCGATCACTAGGAAATTCGCCAGCGACGAGATGGGCACTAGGTACTTCAGATTCCTGATCCACGTGCTCAGCATTATGGGGATCAGGACCACAGCCATGTGTTGATGAACGTCCATCTCGATTCCGTACACGTCTAACACCTGTCGACAATGAAATCGATTGAACCTCGAATGCAGGGTCACTTTAGTCGAAGGATAAAGTACAGTATTCTCGCTATTAATACCCGAAAATCGGGACTGCAATCGGGCATCCGTAATCGTGCAGTGGTGTTCATTCCAAGTCGAGATAAGATCCGAGTCGAGCTTCTTTGTTTGTTCTCTATAGAAAAGGAACTTCGGAACGATCAGAACAAACCGATGAATGAGGAGACACAAATGCAATGTAGAACTTTATTGTTTTTCACTTTTATTGACAGAAACTTTTATGAATTAAATCGAGAATTTTTTCTTATTGGAACACGATATATTTGGGAACATATTTCCCTATTTATTAAATTAGAATAATTTACTTTATTCTAGTAAATTGTGATTTAAAGTATGTCATGTTTGGTCTTCTTTTAATCAGAGGAATCTCACAAATACGGCAATAAAAGTTTCATTTACAATAAAATCCTTATAAGAAAATTTTATCATTGCATTAACATTGTCTCACCGATATCTACCACCGCTGAACAACGTATCATATTACAACTGCTCGACCGTCGAGCTTCGCGGTGTGCTAACAAGACTCGCCCCTCAGTGGTGGGGATGACTACGGGGTACTAATCCTGCAGATCCTACCGGGTATCAATCGCGAGAATACTGTACGCAGGTAGTGATTAGAAACGTTATTACATTATTAATAATATTAATTAATTTTGTCTAAAGTAATAATTATTATTTTTTGATAACAGTATTGATTGTTTTATTTCTATTGTTGTATCATTATCCTTTGACAACAATGCTAAATGCTTTAGTTCAATTGTTTTATTCATTTTCTTCGGTAATATAAATTATTAAGTAGTGCATCGTAATGATTAATAGTAGATAGTAATAATTAATAAAATTGTTGATTATATTAATGATTATTGATATCGATAACGTTGATAATTGTTGGCACTCACCTGCTTCATATTCGTACTAATGAAAACGAAATAAACGCAGCAAAATCCGAGTTGCGTGACACATAAAAACACATTAATCACTTTTCTGGAACAAAGGGACGAGAGTGTGAATAAAGCATTGTTTATAAACTATAAAATAAAACCGTCATAATACGGAGTCTGCATTTTTCAGGAAAATTGAAATGTCGTTGAGAAATCTCAAATGTCGAGCTCAAATTGGTCGCGTTTTATATGGGAATGAAAAAAAATTCAGAAGCTTTTCTAAGATACTTTTAAAGAGCGATTAAATAATTTGGTTTAACAACTCTTCGGTTAACGCTCAGTTTGGTATTACCGCGTGCTTCGAGCCGGGACATCAAAAGGGTTTCGCTACAATGCTAAACAAACAGCCGATGAGATTCCTATTTCATCTTTCTCTGACACACGTACAAACCTCATAAGCACGGAGTATTTTCGGAGTGAGAGAGGTCCGGTGGCGAAGCACATTTCCACGGTACCGGCGAATCCGGACGCAGCAATTGGATCGTTCACTCGCCGCTTCACCTCCTCGTTGCACTTTACCTGTGATCAATTAACAAAACTTTCAAATTTATGGTGCGCGTTGAACACAATGAAATATTACTATAATAAAATAACAAAGAGGAAAAAATTGAATATTAAAACTGTATCAAAATACGTCATATTTTACTAAATAAATTACAAAACTTAATAGTCAAATTTTTATTAAACAAATGTTTTGTAATATTGTTTGAACTTGGGTTCTATTGCTGATAATGTAGTTGATTTTAGATTCAAATATCCAATATTATATACTTTATATTTGTTTGTACATTGTATTTTTAGGTGTTTTGTGTAATATTTTCTGTGACTCTTTGTAAAAAATTTTCAACAAAAAAATATACATATTATATTATATTATATTATATTATATTATTGTATCACTATATTATAGTATACTATATTATTATTGTATTATATTATTTTCATGGTTTGTCGCTCTTACTTACAAGAATATGTTGCGCATGAACACAAATGACCCCTAGGATGATCGTAAGTGGTGGAGCCAGTAGTAGTCCGGCATGCTTGAAGGCATCCCCCAACGCAAATATACCCGAGCCGACGTTACCTTTGAACAGGTGCATCATTGTTTCTAAATACCTGTAATAATTCCATCGATCATGTATAGTTTGCTACACGAGGAATAATACTGCAACGATTTTCAGTAAAAAGACAGAAAACAGTGTTGTTTCGGAAACAATGTTGTTTTGTAAAAAAGGTAACAAATAAAAACTACTTTCACTTTCCCTCTTACTATTTGTTTATAATTTATCGTTCCCAATAAATACACGTGTTTATATAGTTTGAAAAATTTCATTTTTATGAATGAGCAACCAAAAAGGTACCCAAGCCATCTATATTTTCCAAAATATTCTCCTTTTTACATTAAAATAATTCAATTAATTAAAGTTAACTTCTCCGAATCACAATATTAATGTCTCGCAAAATTCTATTCACATTCTATGAATTTATAAAGATTCAAATGAAATAAAAATTGACTGAAACAGTAAAAATTGAACGTCTCTCCCGTCTGTTTTTCTTCTTTTTAGATATGATTCATCCTAGATATCGAAGAGACATTCAACATGACAATTCGGCGGCACAAAGACGGGCGCGTAGCTGACAACGAGTTTTCCAAGCATTCCCCTGTCCCATCAGGCGAGCTAATTTAAAATCACCGGCGAATGAACCGGCCGACCGAGTTTGAAAATGCTCGGCCATGTCTGTCCGCCCAATTTTATGCTTCGAATAAACACGTGTCCGTAGTCGCGAACTAATCCATAGTTACAGTTAAACCGTTCGCGAGCACGATCATTCTTCGTACGGAGTGGAATGAACGAAAATAGAAGCGCACAACCGAAAATAAAGTAGACAGATTCCATTTGAAATATGCGACTCGTCTACTTATAAATGTTTCCAGTTTTTCCGATGTCCCTTGCGCTAGACTTAGAACACGTTTCAACAAGGTAGCAAAATGTATTTGAGCGAAATGTGTGTCTGTATGTCTCCTTCATTTGTTGCAACAATAATGAAAAGGGATGAACATGAGAATTTAAGAATGTTTATTTTCGATTTATAAAATGTCGTTGAATTATTATTGTGTTTTCGATTTATTAGAATTGTTAAGACAAGAAATTAATTTTCACTTAAATTTTGTTTCCTTAAATTATTTCGGGAAAATTTGATTTTATGTAATCTGCTTTGAAGAAACATCATTTTTCGAAAAACAAATTTGGATACCTTGATACTTATTGACTGTGAAAAAAGGATTTAAATTATTGTAATTATAAATTAGATAATATGGAGAAAATATAATGCAGTCGTTCAGTGTAACCTGCAATTTTATTTGTATTTTTAAGCCATTTTCATGAAAATTAAGATTCCTGGTGATTTATAATTTAAAGATCAAAAATTAACAATTAATGATGTTTTGAAATAAGAATCTGTTGCACATGAATTCACAAAAAATGTTCTTTGATTAAATACGTGTTTTTCGAACGTTTTGAAGTATAAATCCTATCCAGGGACACTATTAAAAATAGGCGAATCAAGAAAATCATTGGGACTGAAATATACTCTCGTAGCATGATTATGCGCACTCTACGCAATTAGAAACTAACATCAATCATCCGGTGAATAATGGGAAAATTGTAAAAATATAGTTGTGTGGAAATGTGACCATGATTATAATTGCAATCTTTACACATTAATACTCTACAAAAATTTTTTAAAATGCAATTGTAAATAAACTTGTTGACGACACTCTTAATATTTACTAGTAATGCTATAATTAAAAACGCAAAAAATGTTCAAGTTCCCCATATTACATTATTGAATTTTAAATTTTATCGATCTTTGTCTCATTTCCACTGAAGTCTAAAGTTTAAATTAATTTAAAATTTAAACTTTAAATTATCCATAATTAAAATAAGGGAGAAGTGAATTTAAATTAAAAAAATTAAATTAAATTAGATTTTTAAAACGTGACAAACCTTGTTTTTCGTGTAACATATTAATCGTCGATTCAATGAAACCCATAATTACACAATCGAGTAAAATGCTACTAGTGTTCCATGCGATCGGCGATTCACTGAATGAGTAGTTAAATGTGGAAATTACGCGAACCTATGAGAACTAATGCCAAAATATTTATTTCGAGATTCGTCTACTTCAGGGGCTAACTGAGAAGGCCTAAGTTTCGATGTTGCTCGTTTATCATGTCTGTTATACGTATAATTAATTACAGCTTTTAGCGAGAAGTTTTATTTTCATAAAGAAATCAGTTTTCATACTAGTTTAACTGTAGACATTTTGTTAAAATATTACATTAACTGTAGACAATGCATACAATGAGCAATAAAAATATCAAGTTGACATTACAAGGTATTGTGAATACAAAACAGTAAAAACATGTAAAAAATGTTCAAGATAATGTTTCTCAATAATTAAGGAACTATATCATCGACAAAAAAAATAGATAGTATAAAAAAGCAAGGAAAAAGGATATGAACAATTAAAATTTTCAAGGAAAAATTTTTTAATACTTTCTGTACGTGAAAATCACTAAGAAACATTATATTTCTATTTTATGTTTATATTGTACATAAAATGTAATATCAGTTATTTTTTTATATGTAAAAAGTGTATATTCACATTTCTATATTTTAATAATTTTATTACATCATACTATGTTTCAAATTTGAATTCTAATCATTAAAACCTGTGTAAATTAGTTGGTGAATCTTCTTCTCTAGCAAATTGGTCAACGTTTTTCACTGGTTAGAAACTTTTTGCCAGCAGCGCCTATTAATGTACTCTACATTTACATTCCACCGAATTGTTTCATATTGTGATTTTCATTAATGTTGCGTGTGCACGCAAATGAAGGAAATTACTTCCACGCGTGACTGTCATACACAATCCAGCACTAGACACGCTGTCGGACGAAGCGTATTCGAGAGTGCCAACAATAACGATGTCATTAAAAAAGTGGACAATTTGATCCCATAATTTATGTTCACAAACAACGCGGGGAATAAATCCGGGTTTATTAAATATTATTTGTATGACAGTGTAATATTTATTTATGCAATCATTATCTGTGTTTACTTTATGCTTTTTGTTACGCGTATATCTATATATACTTATTGTCAAACATATTCACGTTGTTGAAGATGTTTCCAAATATTCTAAGAAACACACAAACTAAACACATCAGTAGCTTATTAATATATAAAATATTTGGTAAAAAATAGATATGTTTTTTTAGAATATTTATATTAAACCAATTATTCGTTCAATATTGATTAATTTATTTGTAATTTAGTTTCGACGAAATAATATTTCCAATTAATAAAATCAATTTTAAGAACTTCTAATTCTTTGTTAAAATGAAAATTATTTTTATTTCATCTTTGAAATGTTTTAATAATAGTAAAAATTATTTTTATTGATGCTACTAAAATAATATAATATTAATAATCTATATAATAAGTAGAACAAGTATAAATTAATAACAGGAATTTTGCTTGAAGTTTAAAAACATCTCTAATGGATTCAAACAATTTTGTACGAAATGTAAAAGTGAGAATCTGCAAATGCGTAAACATCTATAAATTATTTTATAATGATGCGTATTTACTTTCGTTATTTTCCATGAATCTCCCGTGTCCTAATTAAGTTTTATTTTCTTTGTATCATATAAAGTGTCGAATTATCCGCTGGAGAACGCAATTCGAGGTTAAAAACATTTATGTGACGCACGATACCTCAAGGTTTCGAGTTCTGTGCCACTTTAATTGCTCGTGACAATTACGATGAGAGAGAAAAAAAAGAATCGAGGTCTAAACGAGCTGCTTTAACCAACGTAGTAGCAATAATTTTATAGAATAGATTAATTTACGAATTGTGTGGATGCTATTAACTTAGCCAGCCAAACGGGGAAATATTCGACTTTTCCCTTAGCAAAGTACTGCTATTTATTTTGTTTAATTTTTCTTTCGTTATTTAGTAAGTCTTGAACTGGAAATATTTGCAATTCGATACCTCTCTTGCTAAGAGTAAAACTAAGGGCAAAATTATTTAATCAAAAGGCCCCTTAAGTTTAAATTTAAGAATAAGTATGGAGAAAGGTTATAAACAAACTATGGATTTTTATGTATTTATGGGGAAAGTACAAAATTCCATGAAATGAATACTTTCACTGTTAGATAATACTAATTTCTATCGTCATAACACGAAACCTTGTCATTTCATCGTGACGGATACTCGTCAGAAACAGCCAATTGGTTAAAGGTTAATAAAATCTGTTGAATGAGTTCAATTAAAGTTAATGAAAAATGTTATAGTTCCTTTTAGGTAGTTGTCTAAGCGTTAAGTGGAAACGGAAGAAAGAGAAGTCTTCACATAACTGTTCTTGGAAAATGGATACGCACTAACGTCGCGGAAAATTATAATCATCCTGACAGATTGCAACACTGCGATACGCCAAATTACTTCCTTCCTTTCAGTATACTTTATCTTTGTGAAAAAACATAGGAAAACAGATAATGTTATACATCAGATTGTCCTAATAGAATCTTCCATGAATGAAAATTACAGTCCTCCATTGTTTCCAAAACATTGCGTCAAAGATAAATAAAACTTCTAAGATCGATGAAAGGTTCATTCAATAATAAGCAAGTTTTTTTATCGATGTTAATTGATTTTTATTTTGACATTTATTATTTATTTATTGACGTTTCAAGCAGATATTAGTGAACACTCTGGTCTTGATTAATTTTGATACTAAATAAATTTTCACTCAGAATTTAATTAATTTTATTATTTTAGTTAAAATTTAATCAGAAAGTACTAGAAAATGTGTAACATAAATGAAAAAAATATTCTATAATACTTATATTGTTGCAAACAATGAATTGTGAAAGTCTCCTATTTCATTCTTCAAATAAAATCACACTTCATATAAGTTTCTATTTTGATTAACAATTTCGTACGAAAAACGTTGACTTAGCACTTAATAATCACGTATGAAAAGAAGAATGAATCACTTGGAACGTGCCGAGTATGTCTTTCCAGATATTCATAACTGTTGACTAATAAATATGACACAGAATATTTTTCATATTATACCAAGTTTACTACATTTATAGTACATGTATAGTAGTACACTTTTTAAAATAAATTAAATCTACTATACAGTATGGTTGTTTTGAAAATTTGTTCAATTTTAAAATTTATTTATAATAATTTTACCATTTAAATAAAGAAGTTTTTATTTTCTTTTTATTATAATTGTGTTTTGAGAACTTTTTCAATTTTAAAATTTAAATAAAGGAATTTCTGACTTTTCTTTAAATAACCTTCAACATTTAACCTATCCAATAACGATAAATTAATTTAAATTTATTATTAAACGATTCGCCGTCCGGGAATCCCAGGAAAGTGCATGCAACCTTCCGAGCAAAGAGTTTCCTCTAATTCCACCTTCATATTTCCACCGTTATTAATATTTAACCACAGTAAACGACTTAACCAACCATCAACGCTACGCATCAAGGCACACACGTATCCATAAAACATTTGTTACATTAATATCATAGTTTAACTGTGTTACTAAAACGCGTCCATTTAAACATGAAACGAAACGCGCATTAAATTAACTTAAGCCATATTAATTCAACTACTAGCCACCGTGACGATTGCGTATACTTTTATACTCAAAAATTCAATAAAATCGTTTAATTTATTTTATTCTATCATTCTATTTATTAATTATTTCTTTTAATCGTACTTAACATTCGATAAAAATGATATTTTCGTTCAGAACATCGTATCGTTGTAGAATGGAACTAGCATTCGAAGTAAAATATCGTCAAATTGAATTTTACTGATTTATTTTCATCGCCAGAACCGTTTGGAAGATACAATCGGTTACAATTTCGTGGGACATCCTGTATAGACGCCGAGATTCTTACACATGACTAAAAAGCAAGTATTCATGGGCAACAGAAAGTGACCGTGGGCGGTACCGTGCGAGTTAAAACCGCAAAACGGAACCTACCTCATGGAGGTGTGGCGAGTATTCACGCGCACACACGTTTATCCATGTGTACAGATCGAAAAATTGTATTTTTCTTGAAGACAGTGCATTAAAAATCACGTGTACAGTATTTTATTGTGAATGAAATTTGTAGAACCGTGCTACAGTGCTCAATTTATCTAAAAGTTTAAAATATTATTGAAGAAGTAGGAATACATGGTCTGATAATAATTGTCTTGTACTATTTTCAAATTTGAAAGTGTTCTTGATAAAATGTGAACTTGATTCAATGAAATTGATACAAAATAAATAAACGAAATGATGCTGAAAAATTGAAAATCATAAAACCTGATTGGCTCAAAAAAGACTCGAAAAACGTAGCAGAGTTAACGTGTATGAAAATATTTTTTAAGAAATATTCGATGGCATACAAATTTTAAGGCAAAGGACAAAGGAATAGACGGTCGGAGGAGTAGAAAGGTTGTTCAACTTACGAGGTCGGATGATTAACGGAAATCCCATGCTCGTTGGTTCCGCCTTCGAGATCACCACTCTTCTCGATCTCCAAAATGGGATCCTTCGACTGGAAAGCTCCATATGTACTCCCATTTCTGTGAAATAATATAATAAATGATGTTATATTAATAATTACTTAAATATTGTTACATTAACAATTAATTAAATATCGTTACACTAATAATTAAATAAACATCATTACATTAATAAATAAGAAAATATTGTTACACTAATAACTCATAACTTATGAGTCATAAGTAAATATTATTACATAAGTCATTCTTAAATAAATAATCCGCTAAATCTCACACATTTTTCAGATACCCAACATTAAGCTAATCAGATATCTTGATCAACAACAAAAACGCATAATCATAAGAAGAAACAAAAATCAAAATCTTCAAACTTCCTAGATTGTACGCTGTAACCTAAGGATAACCAGCGGCATTTCAAATCACCGAATGGTTACATGTTACAGGAACTCTAGGCTGCTTGCAATGACTGCAACTAGACTACTGGTTAGCTGGCATCTGTTTCTGTATAATGTTACGTCTGAATTTTCCCATGAATGTCAAACCAGTTACACTAGAGATTTACGATTATCACGCCTCAACTTCTACGTTGCATAGTAGTTGACTCCTTGGCGCATTTACCGTAAATAATTATACTTTCGCCGATACTCATAGTAAAAATTGAACGACGGCCAATTTAGAAATTATTTTCAACGGCAATAATACTGCGATTGCCACGAATCTTGTGGTTCAGACAAAGGATTCAATAGCGAATATCGAAACTGCCCGATTGCTGCAACTATGGCATAACTTCCAATTTGTCATTTCTGATTTATCGCTACGAACAAAAGGGTTTATGAGAATCAAACTATTCCTCTAATCAAATTATAATGATTTACAGCTTCCCAATTCGTTCTCTGGAAAATCGTGACTTTGCAGTCATTGTTAGTATGTTGATATTTCTATCTTGTTAAATAATATTATTAAATAACGCACCATTTTTCTTCAGAGATTTGTTTACTATTCTATTGAATAATTATAATACAATATTTATTTTCTCATGAATATTAAAATGTTTTATTAACTTCAGTTTAACACTAAAACTAACGAACACTTAGAGTGACTTATTTCCAACATTCTATAAAATTTAGAGCAACACGTTTATTGAAATTTGAAGGGTCTCCTAGTCTTGTATCAGTACAAATACGCAAATTTAATTGAAAATTTTTTGCAAAAATCCCTTCGTGATTTCAATATTTGCAAATAAAAATTCTAAAGTGAGTCAATTTGACCCGTCTGGTAGTTTTAGTGTTAATTTAATGGTAACCGAATATTTAAACTTAAAATAAGAAACCGAAAATTTTAAAAAATTATTTGTAAATAGTATTGTTTTATTAGGATGTAGTATATGTAGTAAGGATTGTAAATATGTTGATATTCTCGTTAGAATAATTGAAATGGCGTCGCAACGTCTATGGTAATTTCTTAATGGAATCTAGCGTAGCCAGTATCTGAATGGTAATAAGTCGCGGAATGGGTTGCAAGGAAGTAAAAGTAACTTGACTGTTTATATAGTCATTATTTCAAGAATTCTGCGACCTATATACGCCACGTGACATTAATGTATCAAGGTAAACCCGCCATTGGACTTGTCGGGAACGACATTTTGAACTGAACAAATCATTCAAACACTTCCCTTGTTGGACACGTATACTCGTCGAATTTATCACGCGTTATTTATAAATTCTTTGACCATCGCGGCTGATTTCTCGTTCGGAACCCACGCGACACCGCAAACCAGCCGTGTTCGACGAAACAATAACTATAATTAAACGAACTTCGTCATTGTTAGCCCTATTTTCACCGAAGGAGTCCAAAGATATCTTACAATGTTAACTCAAAGTTATTTTTATAACGATAAACTTGATTAATTAGGAAAAAGGCGTTTATTTTACAAAAAATGTTCCCCGGCCTTACAATGTTCTAAACAATTACTATAATTAAACAAATTTCGTCGTCTTTAGCACTATTTTCACCGGAAGAGTAAAAAGATATTTTTAAATTTTCACTTAAAGCTATTTTTATAATGATAAATTTAATTAAGTGGATACCACATTTTGCAATCAAAATCACTATTAATCTACCAATCACCACGTCATAAATCATTACTAATTGTGTAATCATTATAGGAGAAGTCGGAAAGTCAATTGAGGAAAAACGATTGGATCTGAAAAATAACTTGTATGATATAAGTTGTATATAAATATAAATTATATAAAGTAATAGTAAGACAAAGATCTTAGTAATTGATGAAATAAATTATTTGAATAATCATTTATCATTCTTTCCGTGATTGTTGTTCTAACTAAATAATCCTACTGTGAATCTTGCAACAATGATTAACTTGTCCTCTCTCTTCAAAAAATCTGTTGGAACGTAAGGAAAATAATACATCGGTGAGTAACAGCTGTCACATATTTTACACGTTTGAATAAGCGAACGATTAAGGAACGATCAACTTGTCGCGTAGGACGTATATAAAGATCATAAATGTGCGATGTTAGAATATATAAGGTGACTTGAAGTTAAATATTAGAATATTCAACGATTGTGAATGTTGTATAAGCTTATGAAATCACAGTAGAATTATTGATGTTATGAAATATAGATTCTATAACTTGTATCTAATAAAGCTCAACAATCAACACTGATTCCCATACAAAATGATAAAGATCGCGAACAACACACAATTTCTAATTAGAATAATAGAAGTTATAACTATGAACTTTACATCATCTGAAAAATGTACTAGTTAATTAATTAAATAGACTCACATAATTACAATTAAAAAATGATGATCCCAACTAAATAAGAAAAAACAGAAACCTAACTAAATTATCTCTACAATGTAACGAATGATTTTATGAATTTATTGTACTACATATAAGTAATTACCAAATTTCTAATTCATTCATTAGTAATTAATTAATTCTATTTCAATAACCATTGAACCAATCAACGAAAACTAAATTTCAAGAGAACAACCCGTTCTTATACCATATATCGATACGAACGACTTACGAATCGCAACGCGTTGATTAACCCTACGGACTAACGTCAACATCTTGGAATCAAATGTTTATATTTGGAATACTAAGTAGCAAACAAATGATTTAATTACTCAAACAGCAAAAGATCACTGCATAGTTTCCTTTGTTTTATTATTTATGTAACGATATATAATTTAGCTTCATCCGCTGAAGTTTCTGCATATTTCAAAGAATCTTCGTCCGCAAAGGGTTAATTACCAACGACGAACAGATTCATATAAATAACCGAGCGCGCCGCGTCGTTACGGTGAATCCCGAAGGCGCATAGGAGCCGTAAATAATTGCCTAAATTGACTTCGACTTTAATTCTCGTCGATCCGACAACGGTGATAAATCTCCCGTAGATAATCTCGATTACACAACGAACGACTTACACACAAGAAAACTTCGATCGCCTCATTGGAGCTGCATTTCCATCGAATCGTCGTTACCGACCTTAGCATTACGACAGATAGATTAACGTGCAAAAACGCAAGCCGAATGCCGCGCAGGTTTCATGCCTCGACGTTAGAATCAAAGATATATCGCTAGGTGCCAAGCGGCTATAGGTGGTACGTCACATTTGGTTCAGCGCTGGCTATCGAAGCAGGAAAACGTACGCGAGCTTTCGACGTTTCGCAATTCAACTGTTCAACGCTACTAGTCTATTCCTCTTTTCTATTTCGGTCATCGATGGACTGGATAAAACGATGAATTTTTCCATTTCAAGCTGTTTCTATGGTACGCAAAAGTTTCGGCAAAACAAAACTAAAATGGAACTAAAACGAAACACCAATAGTTTTCGTAGATAAGGAGCTCGTGTCGAGTTACTGTTGCATGACATAGACCTAAGGAGTCCTCGGTATAATTAATGATCGGCTGAAGGTCAGTGTACATCTATTATCTTCAATCAATATTTTATCATTATTATTATTATCGTTATTGTTAGTATTATTATTAATATTTTATTGCTTAAAAATAAAAGTAGTCTACGTAATACGTAAGTGCCGTTTTTATTCATAACCGCTGGTTAACACGTTTATTGCTTCAAGAATTTCGAGCGTTTTGTATAGTAATAGAGAAATATAGTTTGTATAGCAATAATGGATTCTTATTTCAACTCGATTCATCGTGTGATCCGATTCTTCTCGGTCTAACCTATATAATATTACAATACGAATTGTAACGAAGAACGATTATCGTTCCTGAGTATTATTTTGTTAGTTATAATTGGAAATAAAAGCTTGCAGAAGATTAATTTGATTTTATTTGTGTGAAGTGCAAGTGATTTTTTTATTTAAACGTACTAAAACTCGCTAATTAAAGCTCCTATTTTAACAGAGTAACGTGGAATGATAATTTAAAGAAAACTATTTATAAGTTCGCCTTGACCGTATTTTAAAAGGCAATAAACCTTATCGAAATATTCAAATTGACGTCACTGACTTTAAAACGTTTCTAAGGAATATGTAAATCATGTAGTATCTAGAATTTTTAGCATAGGTTAAAGTATTTTTAAGAAGAGTGAATGTAAGGATGAGTGTGAGTGAAGGACAGGTTGTAAAACGGTCCAGAGAAAGTGGCCTGCACAACGTCACGGACCCAAGACTGCAGGGCCAGCTTTCCAGGGGTGCATCTGAGTGTTTGCGATGAGTGCGAGTGAGAAGAATGCTTATGGGGGAGAGAATGATTTTTGGGAGAGAATGTCTGTAAAAGAGTGGTAAGAGAGTGGCGAGGGAGAGTCGTGTGTTGGCCTCCGTGGCATTGAGTTGTATTTTTTACGTGTTGTCCGTGTTGTTTCCATATCTCATTAAATACATATATTTATTCCTAATTCTCGATTACTGAAGATCCACCTTTTCACTATCTATAATAATAGTACCTCACTATAATAAGGGTATCGTTTCCGTCCGATAAAACAAATTATTTAATTTGTGTTGATGACCTTAAATAAAATATGAAAAAAAGTTATATAATAATATAAACGAAGGAGATTTAGGATATCTGTATTAAGGTTATCGAAGCTCTCAAAATTATACAACGCATATGATACGCAGAGCAACTGGTTCTATATTAAGTAGTATTTTTATTCGGTAATTACATATTTACATATGCACAATTTATCTCTTGTACTCTTTGTTCACAGAATATTGATTCCTTTGCTTGCATCACAAATCTCTGTTAATCCATCTACTTTTCAGGTGTCCAGTTCTGTTATTCATTTCTTTGTTTTCGGATGATCGATAATGCACCGTGTGCACTAATAATAATTATTATTATTTACAAAATAATTAGTAATTATTTAGGGTGCCACCAAAATCGAATAGCAAATGTGTAATTTCAAAAAGTTCACTTTTGACACTTCAAAATTCCAAAATAGTAAAATATTTAATAAAATTTAGTAACTTAATTTAGTAAAAATTGTTTTCCTTCGATTCAAATAAATTGATACGTAAAAGATTATTCATAACATTCTGCACATTGAAGAGAAATGAATATTAGTGTCCTATGTTATAGACAATTCGTAACAAATGCTTTGTTAATATATATATTAAAAATTGACCAAGTACTTTTCAAAATTGTGACAATTTATAGTGATCATTTACCTATGAGGCTCCTTGAGCGTCATCTCGTCGTGTAGGTTGTTCTTCTTCATGTTTGGACTATCGTACATTTCCATCTGTAATCACAATTAAACACATACATTAACATACAAGTAAAAATTTTCAAGTCCTAAGCAAATTTTATTTTCGCTTGGTCCGTCAGAAAATATTTCATCCCCTTCATACTATTTTCATAAGAAAACTTATTAAAAGTATATACATATAATACATTGACCATTTCGTTTGTCACAGTTATCAACACAAGCATACTAACACAATGCAATATGGTGAATGAAGAAGTAAGAGTGGATGCCAAGAGCCTGACATATTATCTTTCGTCAACTTGTAACATTTGCTAAGTTTTTTCTTCCAAGATAATCAGAAACAAAGGCGGCCTTGTGACAAGCCAAATGTTTATACACAAAAATAAATAACCGACAAATCAATAAAAAGAAATGTAAACAAAATATGTGAAAAAATTTTGGGAAAAATATATAAACATATTTTCTAATCTTGTTTTCTAAGGAATATTCCTATTCGGGACACGTTGGTTCTAACCAAGTTGCAATACGAAATATTCTTAGGTTATTATAAATCAAATGTTTCATAGCGTATACAAAATTATTTAATTCTACAATTCACACAAAAATTGTACAAAATAATAAATCTTTTCACCTATAAATAACCTAAAGATTTTTCATTTTGAAAACTGTTTAAAATCGACGGTTACAAATGTGAGTACCCCATTAAATTCATATGTTTTAAATTCGTAACAAGTAAATATAAAATCGCGAGCAATGAAGATCGATCCTTTTTCGTACTGCCGAATGCCCATTAAACGGTCCTGAATTAAATAATTAAATGGTCGATGGATCGTTCCTTAACTTCGGTTCACAAAACTATATTCCTTTCTGTAATATTTCTTTATATTATTTCAAATAATATAAAGAAATAATAATATAATAAATTATAATAAAAATCGTATCTATTATTTGTGCAATTTCATTATATTTATTTATTAATTTATCAAGAAATTAGTGATTTAAGGTTAAACATTGTTCATCCACATGATATGAAAAGAACTGGACGCGTGCGTTATTTAAAGTTCAACTGTATCTATACATATACTGTTTCTCTTTTCATCGGCGATCAAATTAAGGTCGCATGGAGTTCAATGCGAAGCGGGCAATCCAGTTTCTCACGGAAACGTGACCGAACATCTGTCCCGGGACGGTTTCCCTTCGATTTTCCTTGCTGTATTATTCCGCTATTAACCGGCCGGCCTTTACACAACAGTCTTCGTTGATAGCGATATCGCGAATAACAAACGGATTTTTCTAATGAATGTGAATCCGTCTCGTGGGAAAAGTACGACGCGCGATAGAAAACTAATAGCATCGGTCGAATGATAATTAACCCTAGTAAACACAGACGATAAAATATGTTTTATAAACACTGTCGATAAAATTTACTTGTAACTGGAATATTTCTTGCTTCGTTAGTTTCGTTATCGTAAATGGGGAAAATATTACTCTAGTAATAGATAACTACTGAAACGAGAATTAACGATCTTAATTTGATGGTGTGGAAATTATATTCTGAAAATATTTGATAATTTGGAAAATATTTGAATAATGAATTAAATTTTTATTTATTATAGAAAAAGTTTTGATTTTATAACAATTTCTCGTAGTTAGTAATTCGTAATAGTAATTATTAATTGTCTTACTTAGTATTGACCTTAATCAATTGTTGTTAATGTAAATAATGTTTAACATTTGTTTTTTTTCTGTGTTATTTATTTTCTATTTACTGTTCATGTTTACTGTTCAGTATTCTTCACTCTTTGTAACGTTATAAAAAAACAGAGGTTTTCAATTTCAAAATTTTCAACTGCGTACATGAGTCACGTTTCTGTCTCTGTCTTACGCATGAGTGCGCTAATTTCCGCTCTCAAATTGATCTGCCTCACACGCACTACTTACTATGCATTAGCAAATCGTCATGGTCCAGGGAGATTTTTCACCGTTATGAACTTGAGAACGAGAATATAAAAATACAATTTGTTTACATTTCAAACACTAATTTTCATTCTTTCAGTAATTTTCTCAACAGTAAAAATTAAAAAATACATCACCTTTTAATAACATCAAAACTATATTACCAAAATGAAACTAAAAATAAATTGACGATTTATAATTAGTGTGTAGATGCAACAGTTTCACTAACAGTGAAGTTTAGATAAAAAAAAACTACACTTTCAATATTCAAGTCGTACATTCATAAAAATTGATTAATGGTTCACAAATTCAAATTACCTGCAAATTACAGTTCAGACAACCCAACACAAATACAACTTTGTGAGTCTAAATATTTTTTTAACTTGAACTGCGAATAAAGTAGTACTATTATAATAAATTTGCATTAAAATCATAAAAATCACGATTTTTTCATGATCTATAGATGGCGAAGAAAAATATATTTTGGATTAAAAAAAGTTTCCTTATCTTAGTTTTTAAAAACAGGAAAAGGTCATAGAAAAGAACCGTATAATTTATAGAATGATTAAATATTCATTTATACACTGTCATTATTAAAAAATTATTAGAAAAAAAGAATTTTGGAGATAATGGCTATTTTTCATTCTATCGTACGATGTAAATGGGCTGCCATTAATTAGTATGCGCGCATTCACTGAACCGCGTCCACGTGAACTCGCCGTTCGAGTAATATTCCGTTGTTAACATTTGGCGAGACGCGCGGAACCGTTCATCGCTGAAAATGAGCCGATAAGGTCGGCCAGACGAATACATGTCACTGATTGACTTCTCTTAACCCTTAACCACTATAGAATGTTTGCAATATCGCTCTAAATTTTCATTCATTCTTATTTTCCGTCTTTCGTGCTTCCGGATTTTCCTATGCTATATTTCAATTCGCCGAGATGTGTATTAATCAACAGTGACTTGATTAAAACCGTCAAGCTTTCAAAGTGAATCGACGAAACACGTGCACGTAGGGTATTATAATAATTTTTATACAACAAATTCTGTTTTTATAAGATAAATATGTTTTCTGTGAAAAATATTTAGACCTAGAAAGTCAGAAAAATAATACAATAAACCATATTAAAATTCATTTGGAACTTGAATGATCGCAATAATCAAAACAAAAATAGCTATTTTGAAATAGAAATAAGAAGAAACTACGTCGTTTTAATTTTTTATAAATTCTAGTGTTGGTTTACGTATAGAACCATAAAAAGTTTTCTTTATCTCCAATTATATATATTACAAATATTCTTGTAATGAATATCAATGAAAACTATAAATTTCGTCCGCGTTACTCAAGGGAAAATCAAAGAATTATCTGCGGCTGGAGCATTAATAAGGTCTAATATTCGATTACTAAAACAATTAAATAACCACAATACACCTTAACTTGATTTATAAGAATTTATAAAATAGTTATATGACTTTCAAGATCTACAACAGTTAAAACAATTAAGTAATCGCAACACACGTTAGCTTGATTTGTAAGAATTTTTATAATAGTTGTATGACTTTGAAGATCTATGCCAGTTAAGGGTTAAGTAACCAGTGCGCGCACGCGACCGGCTAGATCCAGGCATCTCTTGTTCGCGGGCAGGCCGGTGCGCTAGATCAATGCCGAGAAAATGGCCGCTACGCACGGAACGCACGTGCACGTGTGCACGAGGCTCAACAATTACGAAGAACTTATCTATCGTTTGATTCCGATGACCTTAACGGGCCGCGATATTTATGACACCAATGACGTTTTACTTCTGTCGAACTTCTTTCATTATTGACTGGATAGCGTAAAAATGGCAACGGTAGAATTGAGACAATGTAGTGGTACTTTCAACATATAACCCTTTGCATTTGATTAATTTTTGAATATTGTTGGGTGTAAACTTGCATTGATTTTTAGGGAAATGAATTGAAGTAATTTACAGCAGTAGAATTCAACGTTTTATATTAATTTTATTTATTATTATTATAATAAGATTTAATTTTTATAACCTTTTAAAATATGGTATTTTTTAAAACAATTTCCAACGTTCTATAACAAATATGTATTGTCATCTTCAGTATGACATACAAATGCAAGTGGTTAACTGGAAGTTTATTAACAAGATAAACATATTAGAAAGATAAAAAATGTGTGTGCACCTGGTGATGCTCGCGGAAGATTCACTTTTAAAACTCGTTCGCCTTACACCCTCGTAGACTGTTCTCTAGACTGTCTTACAAGGGTAGTTATCGAACCCGGAAATTTAAAATATTATAAAACTTTGTAAGTTAAATAAGTCAAGCCTAATACATTGCAATTTTTTCTATTAACCCTATGGTCCTATATTATAGCAGATGGGACAGTTAATTTTTCAATAGTGAATATACCTTAGCAGTTTTCAAATTCGATCGACTTTTTAATTTTTAACTTCTAATCGTTCTACTTTGTGTGTATTTACTCGAAGTTTTACTTACGATAAGTGTAGTTTACTTAGCAATATTTCTTCTATAATTATTCGAGATATTTCTAAATAAATAATAAATATTTTTTAATTTGTTTTGTATGTTATTTATTTCTATAATATTTCCTTATTTGTTTTTTCCCTCGATGTTTCATTTGTAATGTGTAACAAAACGGTCAAAGTATATTTCAATATATTTTTGATTATGTTTGAAATTTAAGTACATCCGATTTATAACAGCATTTTAATAACTTAATGCTTGACTAATGTCTAATGTTTTAATTTAAAATTACTTTCTTGTTATTTAACACACCACATTCTTATTTTTAATTTTATAGAAGACGAGTTAATGAAAAATTGGGAACAAGAAGGATGAGAAAAGTATCGAGTTAAGTGATCACCACTTCATTCATCGTGGCAGTGCACGGATCTCAAGAAGAGTTAGCTGAAGCTGTTGCCTAATCTAGCCGCGATAGATAAACATATCAAGTGAAGGATATTTGAAGCTTGTCTCATCTGCATCATCAGCCAATCCTTTCTCAGTTTCAAGCACGTCATATTCTTCTCGAGTTATATACACAG